TTCAGTAATAAGAACATGAAAAAAGGGAACTACACTGAGGAATATAAAAGCACAGCTAAAGTGTGTGTGAATGCAGCAAACAGAAGGGAAAGTGGAAGAATGCAAACACACCTGATTTTGGATAGCTTCTGCATGGGTGTGGAAGGAAGAAGTAGCTTCCTCCTATGTAAGGTTGGCCAGAATTATAGTGAATGTTCCCCTGTAAATCCAAGGACGCCTCCTAGTTGTCAAAGTATGGAAAATATGGGGCCATGATCCTGCCCCTCTTTCTATCCAACCCAGCACAGCTAGCCAACCATGAAGAGATGTGTACACTGCATCCCTTTAAGGAACACCACAATGGACAATTTTGGGTGTAGCATTAGTCTATCCCTGACTATTAGACTAGCTGTATTGTAATTAGTGCAGCAAGTGTTTTAGCTCTTTACAAGATGTGATTGTTCAATAGACTTATTATTGGCTATTAATTGTATAATTTCTTTTTCAGGTTGGCAGCCAGCAGTTACACTGTGCAGTTCTTCAGGGATTGTTCCTATGATAAATAATGCCTCAGTACCTCAGAGCAGCAGCAGCAGCAGCAAAAATGATGACATGTTCCTTTAACTCATGCTTGGTTGATGAACTAGAAGAACTTTCAACTCCTATAAAAATGGAATTTAGAGTAGTCACTATGAACTTTTCTGGGTATTATAATAGGAAACTTTCAAATGTATTTCATGTCACACGTACAGTATTGATTCATTTTGACAGCACTAATATCCCCCATCATTTGTTTTCATTGTTCATAATAAAGATGGGGATTTGATGCTCCCAAAGTGAATCAATAGGATACTGTTTGTGGATCATATAACACATTACAAACTTGCATTCATCATGAAATATGACCATCAATCCATATTACAATATTAATATAAAGAACTTTGAATCAATTACTTCCATTAAACCCATATAAATCTTTGTTTTGAGTGTACATTGCCTGAAACAATTGAATAAGTCAAATTTTGTGACATTCATGACTCCGGAATCAGTAAAGCTCAGAATAATAGAGAGAAATGAAATGTGTACCCAATAAACACTATCTATATCCTGTGTACCTACTGTATATGTCTCAGTTTCCAAGCAGCCTCTAATAATATCACAGTTCAATTCACTATGGTTCTACTGTGTATATATGAGATAATTAAAGAAATTTTTACTACTTTTTCTTAACCATAAATAATTTTACTTGATTTGAATAACACCTTGACTTGTATAGTAGAAATACCTATGTTTATATAAATAACATTTAGATGTAGAAACTGTCAGGGGACAAACTGTGTATACACAGAGTTGTTGTAGGCATGTTTATCCCAGGATATTAGAAAGACAAGGTAGGTAACATAATATCTTTTATTGGACCAATTTCTGTTGGTGAGACAGAGACACTTTTGAGCTTACACAGAGTTCTTCTTCAGGTCTGGGAAACCTACTCAGCATGTCAGCTACATTTAAGGCATGCACACACATATACAAAAAGAGAAAGACATTTCTTGTTTAAAAAAAACTATCTTTGAGTAGCAAAGAGTCCTGTGGCACCTTTTAGACTAACAGACGTATTGGAGCATAAGCTTTTGTGGGTGAATACCCACTTCGTCGGATGCATGTAGTGGAAATTTCCAGAGGCAGGTATAAATATGCAAGCAAGAATCAGGCTAGGGATAACCAGGCTAGTTCAATCAGGGAGGATGAGGCCCTCTTCTAGCAGTTGAGGTGTGAACACCAAGGGAGGAGAAACTGCTTTTGTAGTTGGCTAGCCATTCACAGTCTTTGTTTAATCCTGAGCTGATGGTGTCAAATTTGCAAATGAACTGAAGCTCAGCAGTTTCTCTTTGAAGTCTGGTCCTGAAGTTTTTTTGCTGTAGGACGGCTACCTTTAAATCTGCTATTGTGTGTCCAGGGAGGTTGAAGTGTTCTCCTACAGGTTTTTGTATATTGCCATTCCTAATATCTGATTTGTGTCGATTTATCCTTTTACGTAGGGACTGTCCAGTTTGGCCGATGTACATAGCAGAGGGGCATTGCTGGCACATGATGGCGTATAGTACATTGGTGGACGTGCGATGAATGAACCGGTGATGGTGTAGTGATCGGGTTAGGTCCTGTGATGGTGTCGCTGGTGTAGATATGTGGGCTGAGTTGGCATCGAGGTTTGTTGCATGGATTGGTTCCTGAGTTAGAGTTACTATGGTGCGGTGTGTAGTTGCTGGTGAGAATATGCTTCAGGTTGGCAGGTTGTCTGTGGGCGAGGACTGGCCTGCCTCCCAAAGCCTGTGAAAGTGAGGGATTGTTGTCCAGGATGGGTTGTAGATCACTGATGATGCACTGGAGAGGTTTTAGCTGAGGACTGCATGTGATGGCCAGTGGAGTTTTGTTGGTTTCTTTCTTGGGCTTGTCTTGCAGCAGGAGGCTTCTGGGTACATGTCTGGCTCTGTTGATCTGTTTCCTTATTTCCTCGTGTGGGTATTGTGGTTTTGAGAATGCCTGGTGAAGATCTTGTAAGTGTTGGTCTCTGTCTGAGGGGTTGGAGCAAATGCGGTTGTACCTCAGTGCTTGGCTGTAGACAATGGATCGTGTGGAGTGTCCGAAATGGAAGCTGGAGGCATGAAGGTAGGCATAGCGGTCGGTGGGTTTTTGATATAGGGTGGTGTTAACGTGACCGTCACGGTGCAAATAAGTGATGGTCACGTTTACACTACCCTATACTGAAAAACCAGATCAGCCACACCATCACCGGTTCATTCACCTGCACGTCCACCAATGTAATATAAGCCATTGGCCCTGCTTTGAGCAGGGGGTTGGACTAGATGATCTCCTGAGGTCCCTTCCAACTCTGATAGTCTATGTGCCAGCAATGCCCCTCTGCTATGTACATTGGCCAAACTGGACAGTCCCTATGTAAATGGACACAAATCAGATATTAGGAATGGCAATATACAAAAACCTGTAGGAGAACACTTCAACCTCCCTGGACACACAATAGCAGATTTAAAGGTAGCCGTCCTACAGCAAAAAAACTTCAGGACCAGACTTCAAAGGGAAACTGCTGAGCTTCAGTTCATTTGCAAATTTGACACCATCAGCTCAGGATTAAACAAAGACTGTGAATGGCTAGCCAACTACAAAAGCAGTTTCTCCTCCCTTGGTGTTCACACCTCAACTGCTAGAAGAGGGCCTCATCCTCCCTGATTGAACTAACCTGGTTATCCCTAGCCTGATTCTTGCTTGCATATTTATACCTGCCTCTGGAAATTTCCACTACATGCATCCAACGAAGTGGGTATTCACCCACAAAAGCTTATGCTCCAATACGTCTGTTAGTCTATAAGGTGCCACAGGACTCTTTGCCGCTTTTACAGATCCAGACTAACACGGCTACCCCTCTGATGCTATCTTTGAGTGCTGACTCAACTGTACAACCTGGTATTTAGGAATTTTTTTTAAGTACTTATAAATCTCAAATATGTATGTTTATTTGCTTGCCCTGTCCCTCTCCTTATTTCCTCATTGCTTGGCATTTCTTCTTCTGCCTTTCCAAGACAGGGCTTGTTTGCACAGGGAAATTGACCAGCAGAGCTACAGGGACACAAGCTATACTGGAGCAAGTCACTTTCCCATACCTGAAGAAGTGTTCTGTGTAGTTCAAAAGCTTGCCTCTCTCACCAACAGAAGTTGGGCCAATAAATGATATTACTTCACCCACCTTGTCTCTCTAATATCCTGGGACCAACAGGGCCACAGCACCACTGCATACTTTTATTCCAGATACAAGGGGCAGTTCTGCTGGTCAATTTCTCAATGCAAACACACAGCCCAGTCCCACATCACCATGCTCTGAAGGGAGAGTACTCTTCCTACTGAGCCCAGGCTGCTGCTCTCTGCGCTCAAGCCGAACAAGCGAGCAAATCCCAATCACTCAACCTGAGCCAAGGCTTGTCTAGACTAGGGGTAAATGTGGTGTCTTTAAATGGGCTAGGGTAAGGTTTGTCTACACTTGAAAGGTCATTCGGATTAAGGTGGGGTGTGAATTTAGCTATTCCTGGATGACTCCAGTTTAATTCCATCCTGCACCTGAGAAACCTTCCCCACCAAGTGGCATTTCCTTGCCACCGTCACGTTCCTATGACAAGTGTCACCCCTGGCGGATGGTCGCCAGCCTGCAGGTACCGACGGGACGTGGCAGGTCGGGGGCTGGCAGCCCGGAGGAGGTCCCACCTGGGGCCATGACTTGCCCCAGGCAGGCTGGATAGGAGCCGGCCCTAGGCTGAGGGCTGGAGGGTTTAGTGGGGTTGGGTATTTAACACGGCTCCTGTCCCGTTTCAGGCCCACGCGGGATCGAAGCCCCGCAAGTCCAGGATAAATTGGATAAATTGGAGAGAGTCCAGCGAAGGGCAACAAAAATGATTAGGGGTCTGGAACACATGAGTTATGAGGAGAGGCTGAGGGAGCTGGGATTGTTTAGCCTGCAGAAGAGAAGAATGAGGGGGGATTTGATAGCTGCTTTCAACTACCTGAAAGGGGGTTCCAAAGAGGATGGCTCTAGCCTGTTCTCAATGGTAGCAGATGACAGAACGAGGAGTAATGGTCTCAAGCTGCAGTGGGGGAGGTTTAGGTTGGATATTAGGGAAAACTTTTTCACTAAGAGGGTGGTGAAACACTGGAATGCGTTACCTAGGGAGGTGGTAGAATCTCCTTCCTTAGAGGTTTTTAAGGTCAGGCTTGACAAAGCCCTGGCTGGGATGATTTAACTGGGAATTGGTCCTGCTTCGAGCAGGGGGTTGGACTAGATGACCTTCTGGGGTCCCTTCCAACCCTGATATTCTATGATTCTATGATTCTAAGTCCAGGGCTGGGCGGGCGCAGGGGAGCCCGTCTCCCACTCGGGGGCGGGAAGGGGAGCCGCTTTCCCTGCGCAACTGCTTCTCCTCTCTAGGGGGCGCTGTGGGGAGGCGAAGGCGATCGTTGACGCGCCGCAGCGGTCTGTCCCTGCTCCCGGTCCGTAGCCCGGCGGCTAGGCTGACGTGTGGCGGCGGCGGAGGTAGCGATGGCGGCCGCCTGGGAGGAGATCCGGAGACTGGCTGCCGACTTCCAGCGGGCGCAGTTCGCCGAGGCAGCGCAGAGGTGACGGGACTGGGGGGCCTGCCCCCCTCCCCCTCCCCCCCCGGCCGGGCAACCGAGAGGAGGCGCCCGGCCACGCCCGCCCCCACTCCCGAACTCGGCCCGGAGGCGGCGGCCCGCGGAACCCCCGGGCGCTGGGAGGGGGCTGGGAGGGGGCTGGGCAGCGCCGAGCACTGCGTGTTGGACAGTTGTGGGGAGGTCCGGTGTCCAGGGCTCTGTGGGGCGCGGCGGCAGCGGCGGCGGGGATGCAGCACTCCGCCCGCTGGGGTGGGGGCGGCATGTAGCGCCCTGCCCTGGGGGCGGTGACCAGCACACCGCGGCCCGGATCCTAACAAGGTTGCTGTAGCTGAAAGTGGAGTAGAAAATGCTTTTTCCTTTCTCTGATTTCAGAGTAGCAGCCGTGTTAGTCTGTAGCCGCAAAAAGAACAGGAGGACTTGTGGCACCTTAGAGACTAACACATTTATTTGAGCATGAGCTTTCCTGAGCTGTAGCTCAAATAAATTTGTTAGTCTCTAAGGTGCCACAAGTCCTCCTGTTCTTTTTCCTTTCTCTGTGGCCAGTGGGCCCTGCGCAGTCACTGCAGAGTCAGGAGTTCTTTGGGCCTGGCACCTTGGAGGGGAGAAATCCCATTTTTGAAATAGGAAAGCAGTGATTGTAAAACTACAGAAATGGGCAAGTGAAAATGTTAACTCACATTTTAAAGTTGATGGGGTTTCAAACTGACACCGCCCCTCTGAGTTCCTGCGTCCTATTTATCCACATCAGCAGATCAGCTAAATATTTAATCTTTTAGTAGTGCGTTGTCTTTATTTGTCTTGACAAACCATTTTACTTTGTTTAAGGGGGGGCAATCATTTACTCATTTAACTAATTTTAAAAATCAAGTTTCAAAGTAACAAACTACACTCATAGGACCTCATCCTGAAAAGGTGACAAAGAGTTTAACTTTGCTGATGTGAGTGGTCTCATTGAAACATTGACTGTTCATGAGAGCAAGAAAAGTAACTTGATACTACTCACATGAATAAAGTTTAATCTTTTGTAGGAACGTATGCAGGTACTAAGACCATGTTTTTAAAATGAAAAGAGAATTAGGATTTTGTATGGAATTGACATTGAAAGTTGTGTGCAGAGAACAGCAAAATAATATTTCAGATTGTAAAACTCGAAAAGCTTCAGTTATTTATCCTAAAATTAGCAAATTCTCATTTTAAATGACCTTGTTACTCTTTATAATGTCCACAGGCTGTCTGAACGTAACTGCATAGAGATTGTTGCTAAACTGATTGCTGAAAAGCAGCTGGACGTAGTGCATACGCTTGATGGAAAGGAGTATATCACTCCAGCACAGATTAGCAGAGAAATACAGGATGAGCTTCATGTTTGTGGTGGTAAGAGTTACATTTGTTTTTCTTCACTTCAAGTAAATTAATAGCAAGATCATAGAAAATAATTTGGGGATTTGAAGATTGCCATTGTCCTTCAATAAACTTAATATGGCTTAAGTTTGCATTTCCCTGTTGCTTCACTGAGGATTAATTCCTCTACCCTTGTCTCCCTTCCAAACTCCGGCCACTGGCTGGTTGTGAACCAGAATTGTCAATGTTACCTTATTTTCTAGTATTAAGAATATAGGACAAGGATGTTACAACGCACAAAAAGAAATCTTTTAGCACACTTAATATATTGCTAGTATTATGATATATATAGAATATAAGCCAAAATATGTGCTTTGATATTTTATGGGAATTAATATTGTTTGTATCTTGTATGTATAGTAAATAAAATAGTGATTTTTATAAATTCAATAAATGTAGTGCTCTGTTTAATGATTGTTAATGACTCTGTTGCTATCACATTAAAAGTGTGATTAAGACTGAAGAAATTCATTGTACTTTTGTAGGCATTTAAAGCCTGATCTTGTAGTACAAAATAAGCATGTGCATATGGGTGGTTTTGTTTTGTACTGAATATTATTGCTTTACAGTCAGAAATGGTCTAAACATGACTGGTATATTTAGACAGTTTTCAAAGACAACTAAAAAAAGGTTGTTGAATCAGGCAAATCACTCAACTAACCAAACATTTTCCTCTGTGGAGGAATAAATGTATGTGCAGTTATAATCAGAAAAGTGGATCTAAAGGGTTCCATGATGAGGTTTGACTCACTTCACAAGTAGATTATTTTTGAGAGGCGTGTATCTGTTAGAAAACCTACGGTAATATAACTGTCAATTTAAAACCAATATAATTATACCAGTGAAAACCTCTAATATAGATGCATTACAGCCATGGGAATTGTAATTTAAACCAATTTAAGAACATCTGTATTGGACGTTTGCACTGGTGTAACTAGATTTGATGTTAAATTGACTTAGTTTCATCAGTGCAAATTTTCTGAAATAGAAGAGGCCTGAGAACGAAGCCTGCAACCTTGACTCAGAATCTGAAAATTGTATTTGAGACATTTTTATTGCTAGCGATGTTGTAAGAGGTAAAAACAATCACAATTTAGAATCAATTTTGTTGATGTAGAAAGTAGAATCATATCCAGCATGTTCTTCCATGTCTATATGATACCACAGCGAACAGTAGTAAAAGCTTTGCTGTATTTGGTATGGTTTAGATGCACAGGGAGCATATATGGCTTAAACTACCCATTTGTCTGTAGCAACATAACTATCAGTCAGAGGTGCAAAGAGGCACGATCTCTGACCAACAGCTGTGTCAACATAAGCCACTAATGCAGACACAGTTATACCAATAAAACTACACTTTTAAACAGTATAGCATGTTTTACCTGGGGGGAGTGGTTTTACTATTCCAATACAAAGCTTTGCTTTCCCAGTATAGCTGCGTCCTCCCTAGGTGCTCTTTGCTGATTTAGTATACTCTGTTGGATAAGCATTCCTACTGTAGACATGGCCTAAATTAGAATGCGGAGAAACATATGGTACCTCTAGTTCAGGGGTGGCCAACCTGAGCCTGAGAAGGAGCCAGAATTTACCAATGTACATTGCCAAAGAGCCACAGTAATACGTCAGTAATATGCCACTCATCAGCTTCCCTCCCAACCCCCCAGTGCTCCTATTGCCTCCCTCCCACCCATTGGCAGCCCCACTGATCAGCGCCTCCCCCCCGTCCCCATACCTGCTGATCAGCTGTTTCGTGGCGTGCAGGAGGCTCTGGGGTGGAGGGGGGGAGGAGCGAGGGCATGGCAGACTCAGGGGTGGGGGCGGGAAGGGGTGGAATGGGGGCAGTGCCTGTGGCAGAGTTGGGGGTTGAGCAGTGAGCACCCCTCAGCACACTGGAAAGTTGGCGCCTGTAACTCCAGCCCCAGAGTCGGTGCCTATACAAGGAGCCGCATACTAACTTCTGAAGGGCCACGTGTGGCTCCAGAGCCACAGGTTGGCCATCCCTGCTCTAGTTAATCTAAAATCTTTCCCTCGTGTGTGAAGTTCATATCATCATATGGTTTGGAAAATAAGTTAACACACCTGCCACATTCATGCACTACAGCTGATTTTTTCCAAAGATTACCTTAATGTGTGCTGCATCAGTGTGTCCGCTTGGCAAAAGTTCAAAGTTGTTACTTTGATAGCAGTTTCTGGCACATGTAGAAAGAATTGGTGGTTTCAATTCCATCCCTAGTAGACTGGTGTTCCTCTTCTAGTAGTGTTCCTATGGGTGCTCCACTCTAGGTGCAGTTGCATCCCCTGCACCTTTGATTAAAGATTTCTCTAGTAGTGTCCATTTGGCCTGTGCATACATGTTATTCAGTCTCGTGCTCCATCCCGTTGCTATATGGCACTGTGCGGGCTAACCATTCTCAGTTCTTTCTCAACTGTCCTGGCTTACGACAAAGCCTTAGCTAGTTGTTCAAGTTGAGTTTTGGCTGTAGGTGCTGGAACAAGGGGTGCTGGGAGTGTTGCTGCACCCCCTGGTTTGAAGTGGTTTCCACTGTATACAGGGTTTACAGTTTGATTCAATGGCTCTTAGCACCCCCATTATACAAATTGTTCCAGCACCTCTGGTTTTGGCTCAGCTGTGTTCTCTTAGCTTTTGTACTTAGTCTATTAAAGTAATTAGTTGTATTTTTTTTAAAAAAAGGTGTTATATAGCTTTTTGATCATTTTCCTGCTCCCTGGGATCTTTTGCCCTTTCCAAGGTTATGCTTAGTTCTCCTGGATTCAGGGGTTGCCTGTCATGCTGGGAGGCAATCCCAGTGAGTGATGGACACTCCCACTGCATCCATTGCCTTGGGGAATCTCATAATTCCCAAAAGTGCAACTTCTGTCTGGCGTTAAAATCTAGAGCCAGAAAGAACAGGGAGATAAACTTTGACTCCTTATGATGGAGAACTTGCTGCGAATGGCCTCTGACCCAGGTCAGGAGCTCTTCACCCTCCTCCCCCTTGCATAAACCAGTCTCCGAGTAAGTCGGGTGCCTCTTCTGTCTCTGAACTACACTCCTCGAGGGCATCTAAGAGGAAGACCCACGATTCCTCTCATAAGTCTTCCAATGACTGTGCTCCAAGTTTTCCAGGTAGGGAACCTACATCAAAGAAATTGAATACATCAGCTCCCTCGGATCCCATCAGTCTCAGACATGGTATTCCCGAGGCTGCTGATTTCTCAAGTACCGAGAGCTCTGCTAAGTGAAGAAACCCTAAAATATCGGGCTCCGAGAGACCTTTGATACTAGTAGGAGACCGCAGCGGCAAGAAGAGTTCTACAATGGTACTGGAAAAGATTGGTTGGGCTCTGTCTGGATTCCGCCCAGAGCATTTGATACTCACAGTACCATCACTACTCTTACTTCAGCACAAGCCCTGGACACAATACCAACAATGCTGTCAGTACTGTAAGATGCCTGGTTTCCCCAAGACCTCAGAGCGTCCGAGACTCCTGATTCACCATTGCTTAACGCCGATATCTTTTTGGCACCAAGAACTTCCAGATCTTTGGACACCTACCCGGTACTGATGGTGGTATCTCAAGCTGCTTCTGTTCTCTCACCATTACCAAGGACTTAAAGGAGGAGGATTCAGAGAAAAATTTTGCCTCAACCTCCCAAATATCTGTTCAAGGCTCTCCACTCCACCCCATGAGGATTCTTTTTCTGAGGAGCCTGAGCTCAGTCATGACAGATGTCCACAGTTACTATCCCGCTGGGGTGAGCACTTGTAGATTCCACCACCCATGCCATATGTGCCACCCTTTTGGCCATGCTGGAATCCCTGGGTGGCTTATTGCCACCAATTGTCTAGAGCCTAAAGTTCAGCCATTCACAGAGAGAGACAACCCTCCTATCCTCCCTTTACTGGAGACTCAAGAAGAGACCTTTGAGGAATAGGAGGCCAGGGCTGATGATGCGGTTTCTCCAACCGCGAACATCTTTCTTCATCCCAGGATGAAGCTCCACCATTGCTGGCTGAAGATTATTAAGCAGTTTCAGGATCTCATCAAGAGCATCGTGGATTCTTTACAGATCCCTCTTGAGGAGATTGAAGCAGTAGTTCTGAACCAGAGGTACACAGAGGTCTTCCGGGGGTACAGTAACTCATCTAGAGATTTGCCTAGTTTTACAAGAGGCTACATAAAAAGCGCTAGCAAAATCAGTACAAACTAAAATTTCATACAGTGAATGACTTGTTTATCCTTTTCTGTATACTGTACACTGAAATGTAAGTACAATATTTATATTCCAATTGATTTATTTTATAATTTATATGGTAAAAATGAGAAAGTAAGCAATTTTTCAGTAACTGTGTGCTGTGATACTCTTGTATTTTTGTCTGCTTTTGTAAGCAATTATTGTTTAAGTGAGGTGAAACTTGGGGGTACATTAGACAAATCAAACTCCTCAAAGTAGTCTGGAAAGGTTGAGGGTCGCTGCATTTGAAGAACCACATCAGAAGCTGCTTGATGTCCTCCATATAGCCTCTTATGCCCACGTTGCCCTGCCAGTCAACAAGCCACTCCTGGATCCTACAAAGGTCATTTGGCATACTCTGGCGTCAATTTCTCCCACGTGCAAAAGGGCAGTCAAAAAATATTTCCCTCTAAGGAGTCATAATTTTTTTCTCACCCATCTCTTAATTCCTTGGCAGTTGAGGCAGTTAACAAATGTGGTAGGCAGAACTACACTAAATCTACACTCTATGATAAAAATCATAAGCATCTCAACCTTCTTTGTAGAAAATCTGATTCTTCGACTACTTTATAGTTTAGAATCGCCAACTACATCTACACAAATTATACCAAGCTAAACTCCTTTATTGACCATCTGCCGACAGAACACAGAGAGCAGTTCCAGTCAATTATTGCAGAAAGCCAACTCCTCACAGGATATCTCTGCAGGTTTCTCTCAACGCTGCCAACACTGCTACTTATTCTATTTCTACAGCAGTAGTTATGAGGAGGGTCCCCGGCTTCCCAAAGGAGATCCAGAATACGATAGAAGACCTTCCTTTTGACATCATTAAGTTGTTTGCTGGTAATACGGACGAATCCCTGCATACATTAAAAGATTGCAGAGCCACTTTACAATCTCCAGGGAGCTACACACCTGCTCTGAAAAGAGAATTTACTAGGTCCCAGAAAGCACAGAGATCCATCCTGCACAGTTCCTGAGTTAGCAGAGGCCATAAAACCTCACCACAAGAGGCAGAGATTTCAGAGACGGAAACCACCCACCTCTCAGCCTTCAACTTCACAACTGTCCACTTCAAAGGATCAATTTTGATGGGATGGTTGAGATCCTGAGCTGCCATCCTCTTTCTTATCAGCTATAACGTTTCACATGCTTTCCTCCTTTCGGCAACTCTTTTCACCATAACTACTGACAAGTGGGTTTTAGAGATCATTTACACAGGGTACTCCATCCACTTCAATTCTCTTCCGCTCACAACCCTCCTTCCCTATTCAGGGACTCCTCCCATGAGAACCTGCTATGGCAGGAAATAGACTCTCTTCTACACTTGTGTACTATAGAATCAGGTTTCACACAGCTCAGAGGGAAGGGGTTTTATTCCAGGTATTTCCTGGTTCTGATAAAAAATGATGGTTGGAGACCCATCCAAGATTTAAGACTACTCAACACATTTGTGAAGGCACAAAAATTCAGAATGGTGACACTTGCAGTGATGATCCTATCACTCCTATCATTGTAGTATGTAAAGGCACAACTTGGACTTCTGTGCATACATTTGCTGTAATAATTTGTGATACTGCTTCTGATACCGTGTTTGGCTCAGCTGTACTTTCTTCCGTACTGAATGAGACTCTGAAGCTCCCTCCTCCTTAAAGGGGAACTGCTTGGTAGTCAGCTAGAGTGGAGCATTCATGGGGACACTACTCGAAGAAGAAGAAATGGTTATTCACCCTGTGCAGTAACTGTGGTTCTTTGAGGTGTGTGTTCCCATGTGTGCTCCACTACCCATTCTCCTTCCCCTCTGTCATGGGGCTTTGTGGAGGTTAGCCTGAACAATGCTATATAGCAACAGCATGGGGAATGAGGCTGAGTAACACGCATGTGCAGACCGAATGGACACTGCTATGAGCAAACTCCTATCAAAAGCACGAGGTGCAAGTGCACTAGAGTGGAGCACTCATAGGGGGACAGGACACATCTTGAAGAACCACAGTTACTGCACAGGGTGAGTAACCATTTCTTCATGTTTTGTTGGCATCATAACATGACAGTTTCAGCACAGAGGTAAAGGGGGGAGAGTCTCAACAATTCTTCTACCTTTTATAGACTCTGTTAACGTTGTCTTTAGGCATATAGGGTGTCATGGGGAATCTTGCACTGTTGCTGCCATTATGTGGATTTTTTCCTCTGATTAAACAGATTTCAGCTTTAAATGCTGTCAATCACACTCCTTGTGATCACTTAAAAAAAAATGAAATAGAGTTCATACTTGATTGGCTGTGCTGCATTATAAACCTGTTCAAAGCTTTTGATGTACTAAATACTTAAATTATATTTGTATTTTTTCAAAGGTCGAGTAAACATTGTTGACTTACAACAGGTAATTTTTTGTTATAAAAATACATATACTTTTTGTTTCTGTGTTTCTCTATTTGTACTGCATCAGTCAGTCTCAAAGTAAGTTACTATGCTGATATTGAAGTGCTGTATAGCAGTGGTTGCAAAACTGGTGGCACTTCTCACTAACTTTGACTACTTCGTCCATTTGTGTATCACTTCACAAATGTTGTATTCATGCGTATTCTGATTTTGAGATAAATAAGTATTCTGTAGTACTGTGACACTCTTTAAAATTGCCCCTAAAAAAAAGAAGCAGGTTTTTTTTGATGATTTGAATATTTCTGCTTTCTTAAACTGAGAAGTACAGGTGGATAAGAAAGGTCCGCCTTTGCTAAAATTTAGAGCTATTGGGTCATGCAGTGAAATATAATAAACTCTGCATGCCTCTCTGGGTCCTCTCTCTTTCTTCCTTAATCGCTTGTCTCCACTAATCTCTATCCCCCAGTCATCTTCTGTGACTAATTTTTCCTTCTGTCTCAAGTAAAATTGCTTGAAATCAGAAAACTTTCTGGAAGACAAAGTGTTTCTTTTCAGAGCTTTACAAAAATCTTACTTTTCTAGGACCCTTTAACCTAGTTGTTATTAGAAGAGATGTTTTAAAAGCACAAACGCTTCTGTTCCAAGCCACAGACTTACTTGCACATAAATATGATAGAGCAAATAAAAAGCAGATATCCTTTTGAAAGTATGTCTTAATGTCTGAAAGTTAATTTGAATTTAAGGGACTGATGGATTTTTTTTTCCCAGATAATAAATGTCGACCTGGTCCATATTGAAAGCCGAGCTAATGACATTGTTAAATCAGACAGAACTATTCAGCTGGTACTGGGACAGTTTATAAATGAGTGAGTATCTTCTGGAGAAATGTACAGTAAGTCCTCACTTAAAGTCATCCCGGTTAACGTTGTTTCGTTGTTACATTGCTGATCAATTAGGGAACATGCTTGTTTAAAGTTGCGAAATGCTCCCTTCTAACAAAGCAGGCAGTTGCCTGCTTTGTCCATGTCCACTGCTTGCAGAAAGAGCAGTCTGTTGCAGCTAGCTGGTGGGGGGCTTGGAACCAGGGTGGACCCGCAGCCTCCCTATCAACTCCCTGCTCCCCTAAGTTCCCTGTGCGGCAGGCAGCCGCCCAGCAGGCTACCAATTGCTAGCAGTTCAGCTGTCCCTCCCCCCCACTGCCATGTGCTGCTCCTGCCCTCTGCCTTGGAGCTGCTCCCCGAGCCTTCTGCTTTCTTGGGGGGAGGAGGGGAAGAGGGGGCCTAATGTCAGAGTGTCCCTCTCTCCCTTGCTCCTGCACCCCACTTACCCCATCTCAGAGGGACACAGGACAGGGCTCAGGATGGAGGGAGCTTTCTGGCAGCAGTTGTGGTCTTAGCTTACTCATTACCTTAACAAGGCAGTGTACTTCAGAGTGGTTCAGGTACTTAAAGGGGAAATGCGCATCTCTCTCTCAGGCACACACTGTGTCTCCCTCTCTGTCTGCTATGCTGTCTACCCGCTGTCCATTCCTGCTGCCTTGTAGAGTGTGAGGCGACATTAACAACTAGTTAACCCCTTGAGGGCTCAGCCAATTGCTAGTTCATCATTTAGCAATATTCCCTGGGAAATATCCCATCCTCTGAATTCACCACCTCAACCAAGCTTCATCACATCATCATTGCTGTGTACAGTATTAAATTGTTTATTTAAAACTTATACTGTGTGTGTATATATGTGCGTGTATATATAAAAAAAAAATACAGTCTTTTGCCTGGCAAAAAAAAAAATTCCCTGGAACCTAACCCCCCTATTTACATTAATTCTTATGGGGAAATTGGATTTGCTTAACATCGTTTTGCTTAAAGTCGTGTTTTTCAGGAACATAACTACAGTGTTAAGTGAGGAGTTATTGTATACAGTGGTCAAGAGATACAACTTTAGATGTTATAGGTGCAATATAACTATAGTCTTCTATTATTTATTATGCTTCAGAACTTATTTTTGGGGCAGAGAATAGACTTCCATGGACCAGAACCAGTGACATGCTGAGCACTCTCATCTCCCATAAAAATCCATGTTCAGGTTCCTTGGAGAGAAAAAAATGTGTGTGTTTTTTATGAGGGGGTTGTGAAATTACTTCTTATTGTTCCTTGTAAGGAAATAAATGAACAGGTTGCAAACTAGTGGGTTGGTTAGCAGAATTTTAAAAATACAACCTTTTCCCTGTAATAGTTGTATTGAGCAAGATGAATTACCACAGCCCCTCTATTTCTGTTTTATAGTAAGTTCCCATGTATTTATGTATACCCTGGAAAAATGTTTACTCTGAACAAATAAATTTAATGAGGCAGAATAACTGTACGTAAAGAGATGCAAGTTGAATTGGGAATGTCACGCTAATGTCTTTTCTTCCTGGTTTTACATAAGGAGTTACCTAGACCAATTAGCAGAAGAAATAAATGATAAACTACAGGAAACTGGTCAGGTGACAATATCTGAACTCTGCAAGGCATACGACCTTCCAGGAGACTTCTTGATACAGGTTACTGCATGTTATCTACCCTTTCATATAGAAACATTGAATTCTGATTTGAAGAAATGTTTCCCTTTTATAGCAACTTTATTATCCAGGCAACAAAGATGATAGTTATATGAAGTCTTGGGTAGTGTCCTAAGCAGGTCAGTATTAAATCTCTCAGGTTTGCATTTTAGCGGCTATGAACCGATTTAGATTAAAATTTGCCGGTACGGATTTCAGTATCTGAACTGAGCTAGGTTTCCTCTCAGCCATTGTGATACTTTAGGAGAAAGGAACGAACATACTTTAAGAGTGTAATAAAAGAATTTGAAAAACTGCCTTCAGGTGAAAGACTCAAGGGGCTCAATCTAGTTAGCTTATAAAAGAGAAGATTCAGGGCTGAACTTGATCACAATCTATAAGTACCTACCTGGGGAACAGAAATATGATAATAGGAGTGCCCTTCAATCTAGAGGAGAAAAATATAACAAGAACCACGGGCTGGAAGTTGAAACTAGACAAACTTAGACTATATATTAAGATCCACGTTTTTAACTGTAAGAGTAATTCAGCATTGGAACAACTTACCAAGAGTTGTGCAGTATATCCTTTATCCCTGGAAATTTTTAAATTAAAAATTAGGATGTTTTTTCAACACAGGCATAGGACTTCCCTTTCAATGAGAAAAGCTCTTGTTCAAAGGAAGTCCGCATTGAAAGGGAAGTCCTATGGCCTGTGTTATGCAGGAATTCAGACTAAATTATCACAACCTTCATATCTTCATAAATGATCTGGAGGATGGTGTGGATTGCACTCTCAGCAAATTTGCGGATGATACTAAACTAGGAGGAGTGGTAGATACGGTGGCAGGTAGGGATAGGATACAGAGGGACCTAGACAAATTGGAGGATTGGGCCAAAAGAAATCTGATGAGGTTCAACAAGGATAAGTGCAGTGTCCTGCACTTAGGACGGAAGAATCCAATGCACCGCTACAGACTAGGGACCGAATGGCTAGACAGCAGTTCTGCGGAAAAGGACCTAGGGGTGACAGTGGACGAGAAGCTGAATATGAGTCAACAGTGTGCCCTTGTTGCCAAGAAGGCCAGTGGCATTTTGGAATGTACAAGTAGGGGCATAGCCAGCAGATCGAGGGACGTGATCGTTCCCCTCTATTTGACATTGGTGGGCCTCATCTGGAGTACTGTGTCCAGTTTTGGGCCCCACACTACAAGAAGTATGTGGAAAAATTGGAGAGAGTCCAGCGAAGGGCAACAAAAATGATTAGGAGTCTGGAACACATGACTTAAGAGGAGAGGCTGAGGGAACTGGGATTGTTTAGCCTGCAGAAGAGAAGAATGAGGGGGGATTTGATAGCTGCTTTCAACTACCTGAGAGGTGGTTCCAAAGAGGATGGTTCTAGACTATTCTCAGTGGTAGAAGATGACAGGACAAGGAGTAATGGTCTCAAGTTGCAGTGGGGGAGGTTTAGGTTGGATATTAGCAAAAACTTTTTCATTAGGAGGGTGGTGAAACACTGGAATGCATTACCTAGGGAGGTGGTAGAATCTCCTTCCTTAGAGGTTTTTAAGGTCAGGCTTGACAAAGCCCTGGCTGGGATGATTTAGTTGGGGATTGGTCCTGCTTCGAGCAGGGGGTTGGACTAGATGACCTCCTGAGGTCCCTTCCAAACCTGATATTCTATGATGGTCCCTTCTGGCTTTAATGTCTCTGGCATGATCATCTTCTAAACACATTATCCAGAATATATACACAGTTTCTTTCTTTTTTTGTCCCAGACAATCTGAATGTTTTAAGTTACTAATTTGAATGCAGATTCCAATCTCTTTTTTCTTTTGTCTGGGGTTTTTTATTTCTTGCTGTTAACTTATACTCTGACATCTCAGAAGAGTGGTTCAGGGACTTCCTTTGTCACAGACACAAAGGATTTAACATGAACGTGCAACCTTAGAAATCCAAGGCCAAATGGGTTTCTTTCACAATGTGTTCGTTCTTCATTCACCTGTAAAGATTGTAATATGTGTGGGAGAGGGAATAGTCATTAAATAATTCAGGTCATTGTATGTATTATTGAGAAAGCTACTTTAACCTGGCGATTGCAGTTGGGTCAAAATAGCGTGACCTCACACATGCAATCTGTGTGTTTTTTATAGTATCTTAATATTCTTCAGTAATTATTACCATTTTAAATACATTCTTATTTCTGAATATGTTGATTATTTCGACAAATTAACTTTCTAATCTACAGTTTAAATATATTTTCTTCTTTGCTGTGTAACTGTAAACTCTCGTCCCAGCATTTATCATAACTTCTGTTCACAGGCATTGTCCCCCCGTCTTGGTAGAATTATTCATGGCCAGATAGATCAGGACAACAAAGGAGTGATTTTTACGGAGGCATTTGTAGCCCGGCATCGAGCACGCATTCGTGGTCTGTTCAGTGCAATTACTAGGTAAGCCCTAACACAAATATCTATATGTAGAAATGTGATTTACAGCATTATTTATGCATCTGATTTATTTGTAATATACAAAAAAGAAAATAAAGGCATATGTATGAGACTTTTGCAGTTACAATTCATTTTACAGTGAGAGAATTTTGTGTACTTTTTTGGAGAAACATGTAAAGTGAGCCCAGTCCTCTGCTGATGTACAAAGGTACTTGAGCAAGAGGAAAGGCTTATCGCTAGAAAAGGGAAGACTAGTTAGCTAAAATGAGCTAAATTACAATGGGAAAATATTTTGAAAAACTGGCTAACACTGCTGGTCATGAATTCACTGTGAATTCTTAATTTTCTGGAAAGTGTCCCCTCACTGACATAATTACAGATTAATATCCACCAACCACACTTCATTTTTCAGAAATTTGGGTATCCGTTCAATAGCTATCTTAATGCTCTATCTTGAGCATGAACTTAGTTAGCAGAAGTTTGTGTGTGTGTATGATATTTACAGTAGTACTAATACAGTTTTAAACCAATATGAATTTATTAATGTCATAAATTGTTACTGCCATATTTAAACAGTCTGGCTAATACACTTGATCGGTTTTTCAGAATATTCCTTTCTTGGGGGGAAAAGTCCAGAGGTACTTGTTTGTAGATTCTACTTCAATTTGGGAGTCTCCAGGCCTGTTTCCATGTTTATCCTTTTTATTCTTTATAGGCCTACTCCTGTAACTAACTTGATCACTCGGTATGGATTCCAGGAACAACTGCTTTACTGTGAGTTTGTTTCAGATTTTGTTTCATGTATTTAGATTCTTTATTGTTGGAATTAATCATTTCAATTAAACCTTTTAGTATTGTTTTTGAAATAAATAGCAATAAGTCTCCTTTCTAGTTTAACAAGTAGTAGACTTCTTGTGCTGTCTACAGCTCAGAAAAATGTCTATATCTGCAGCAATGAAAGATCATTGATGGAATACCTCTAAGGGAGTGGAATGATGCAAGAAGTGCAATGTTCATTTTTGTCTTCTGTTTCATTATGTGCTCTCAGCTACTGGTATTTTTATCAATGGAGCATGCAAAAGGACACAGATTTCACATAGCTGAATGACTTTAACTGCATAGGATTTTTACTTATTGACTTTATTTTGATATTGCTGAGGTAGAGTTTTTGTTATGCTCATAACTAGAGGTCTTAGTAATCTGGGAGATAAATCGCACGCTTATTTGTTTATTTTTTTCTTTTCTTTAAAAAAGCCTTACAAAATTACAATCCATGAAGATTTCCTTTTGTAGTCCTTGATTTGCTCTCACCTCAACTATTGCAACTCTTTGACTATCCAGCTCTCATGTCTCCTCTATTCTATACAAAATGCTACCTCAAAGATCATGTGTCTTGTCTGTGGACTGACCACGTCCTCCTATGTTCATTTGCGGGCTTCTCATCTCTTATATAAAAGTTAATCTCCTTTTCTTTGCCTTCAGGGCCTCACATGACTTTGTTCTATTAATGTTCCTGTCTTCCCTTTCTTCTTTCATTCTACATGGTTAACTGCTCCTTTAGGCTCTCCCACTGGCATCTGAATCTAATTCCCTTATGCCTGCAATCCTCTCGCTGACCCTGACCCCAGGATTCTTCCACTCTCTTTCCTTAAAACTAAACAAGCCTGTCAAGGTTCCTCCCCCACTCTGAACTCTAGGGTACAGATGTGGGGACCTGCATGAAAAACCTCCTAAGTTTATCTTTACCAGCTTAGGTCAAAACTTCCCCAAGGTACAAAATATTCCACCGTTTGTCCTTGGATTGGCCGCTACCACCACCAAACTAATACTGGTTACTGGGGAAGAGCTGTTTGGACCTGTCTTTCCCCCCCCAAAATACTTCCCAAAACCTTGCACCCCACTTCCTGGACAAGGTTTGGTAAAAAGCCTCACCAATTTGCCTAGGTGACTACAGACCCAGCCCCTTGGATCTTAAGAACAATGAACAATCCTCCCAACACTTGCACCCCCCTTTCCTGGGAAATGTTGGATAAAAAGCCTCACCAATTTGCATAGGTGACCACAGACCCAAACCCTTGGATCTGAGAACAATGAAAAAGCATTCAGTTTTCTTACAAGAAGACTTTTAATAAAAATAGAAGTAAATAGAAATAAAGAAATCCCCCCTGTAAAATCAGGATGGTAGATATCTTACAGGGTAATTAGATTCAAAAACATAGAGAACCCCTCTAGGCAAAACCTTAAGTTACAAAAAAGATACACAGACAGAAATAGTTATTCTATTCAGCACAATTCTTTTCTCAGCCATTTAAAGAAATCATAATCTAACACATGCCTAGCTAGATTACTTACTAAAAGTTCTAAGACTCCATTCCTGGTCTATCCCTGGCAGAAAACCAGCATATAGACAGACACACAGACCCTTTGTTTCTCTCCCTCCTCCCAGCTTTTGAAAGTATCTTGTCTCCTCATTGGTCATTTTGGTCAGGTGCCAGCGAGGTTACCTTTAGCTTCTTAACCCTTTACAGGTGAGAGGAGCTTTCCCCTGGCCAGGAGGGATTTCAAAGGGGTTTACCCTTCCCTTTACCGTAGCCCAGCCACAACAGAAAATGAGCAGCTCTAACTCTAGTGATATATAGTGATACACACTAAATGTACTGAAAAATGGGGGGGGGGAGAGGGTATTTATAAATAGCATTAGAAAGCCATGAGCTTAACTTCATTTAGTTATTCTACTTGTTCATTGTCTTCCATTTCCTTTTACTTTGAATGCTGTCTTTTTAGGCCCCAGTTCTGCAATGAGAACCTGTGGGCCCAGAGCTTGACCTGTGTAGTTCCCTTTGCAGATTTGGAGCAGGGACTTTGTCTTCATACCTGTGTGGAGATCAAAGTGGTATCTTAATGCAGGAATTAGGGTACCAAGCCCAAGTAATTTTATCCCAAAATTGCTAAGGCTTCTGTCTAGACCAGTGGTTCTCATACTTTTGTACTGGTGACCCCTTTCAAATAGCAAGCCTCTGAGTGTGACCCCTCCTTATAAATTAAAAACTTTTTTTTAATATATTTAACACCATTATAAATGCTGGATGCAAAGCATGGTTTGGGGTGGAGGCTGACAGCTTGTGACTCCCCATGTAATAACCTCGCAACCCCCGAGGGGTCCCAACCCCCAGTTTGAGAACCCCTGGTCTAGGCTGAATTAATCATTATTTCTTGTGATATAATTCAGAAATTTGACAGTGTTGCCACATGAGGATTCTTATCATACATAAGGTACTTCTGGGGCAATTCTGTGCCTAAAAATTCTGTGTGCAATATTTTAAAATTATGCATATTTTATTTGTCAGAATAACACAATATAATTACACCATTTTCAATTAATTTAGTAATTTATTTCAAAATACTTGTCAGCAAGTATGTCTAACAACACAGACAAAAAAAAGTTTCCCTGAGGAGCAGAGAGTTAAAGAAACTCCTATGACAATCCAGTTCCTGCTTCTGTTAGACTTTTGTTGGGTGCCTCAGTCTGGGTGTGTCACATGTGTCAGCTAGGCACATCTTGGGGGGAAAACTCTGCCCCTTTGGTCTCAGACACCCACACCCCCTCCCCATCAGACCCCAGCTGCAGGATGCCTCCCTAGCCCAGACACCACACCTCCTACCCCCCAGAGCCCAGCCGCAGGGCACCTCCCAATCCAGAGCCTTACCGTGGGGCAGCCCCCAACGCTACAGCTGTGGGGTGTGCCCCTAGCCCATTCACCCGCATCTCCTATCCCCCAGTGCCCTGCGGTGGGGTGTCCCCCTAGCTGTATCCCTTTGACCCCAGAACCCAGGGATCTAGAAAGAGAAACAGCCTGATGCTGGGTCCTGGGCTTGTATGGAGTTTCCTACACACTGCCTTCTTCCTTCACAATGTGCTGGAAACTGCAGGTGCCTGGAACTCTTTCTCCCTGTCCCTCCTCCCTCCCCAGCAGTGTCCTGTATTTGTGAGCTGCAGAGCAGGGCTTTGCTGGGTCTCGTGGCCCCTAGTGCTGGCCAGCAGCTCTGCAGCACCAGTTCTGCAAGGGAAAGTGAAATTCTGCACATAACATTAATTTTGCACAAATTCTGCATTGCGTGGTGGCACAGAATTCCCCCATGAATAATAAAGATGTCATAAGTTATACAAGCAAGAGAACTCGGTTATATAATTAGTCTATAAAGAAATTAAGAAAAACAATAAACAGTGTTTAGTTTAATTCGTTTCTTCAGTTGTGTCCTTTTTGAGAGTTCTCCAACAGAGGATTGTATCTTCTGTTACAGTCAGACTGTAGGATACACTCTCCTCTAGGCAAGCAAAAAGAGAAACTAATTAGGCTCCACCTATTCATTTTGGAACTATCTAATTATCCTAGGTAATCCAGGTAGTTTATTGGTGGCAAAGGGCAAAGTTCAAAAGTAGGTGATGTGAGAGATGTGGCAGTGTCCTGCAATATCCTGAACAAACCTTTTTGAATTACATTGAAGTATTTAGGAGTTAATTGTATTAAAAATAAAAATGTTTATGTATTATAGTGGGATGTATGTAACTTCTATGGGGGGAGACATGACTAATGTAAACCCTTGGAAGTGTTATGTTCTTCAGAGGACTATTTGAAACAATGTACCAGAAAAGAATGAATTTTAAAAGTTGTTGGTTTCCCAGGAAATTTCTAGGGGCAGATGTATGCAATTATACTCCTTTCAGTTATGCAAGAGCTCAGCCTTTGGAAGCTTTGCCCTGAGGAGGGGACCTTTGCTGATTAATTAGCTTTTAACATGAGGACAAGATCAGAGGCCCAAACTGTATAGAGGAAGGACACTTAGATTCAAGGGGGTGCTGGTTCTGAGCCAAGGCGATTATAAACTTGTAACCACAGAAAGCGCCCTTGATGGGGGATGAAGGACTGACTGGTACCAGAGTCCTTGTTAGAGTTGGGGTGATCTCTGGTAAACTTCTTTGTGTGTGTGTGTGTAGGTTCTTTTATTGTTTTCGTATGTTTTCTCTAACGCATTAACTTTAAGAATAAATGTTTAAAAACTGTGAGCAATTACACTGTTCGGTGATTCTGGGAAGAAAAGCAAAGCAGGCCTGCTTAAGCAGTCTGACTTGCTGGGGAATTCACATTATAGACAGGGAACTGTGAAGCCTGGAAACACCTCCATCAGGAGGGAGTGAGATGTGTGTCTCTGCACGTAAGAGATGATGGCTGAGGAGCTGTGAGCCTGAGAGTAGGTGCCCTTGGTGGAGCATAGTGTGGGAATATAGGTGCAGTTTCCCTGAACTGTGGCAGGTAAATCCTGTTTAGATTATCATAGTGAGGGAAAAAATTATAATTGGAAAAAGGTGTAAGTGATCTTTCAAATTCTGTGTATTTCAATAACTGGAAGAGACCTTTAGTTCAGTTGCTTAAAGAAGCCCCTCAGCTATTATTCACTCTAAATCTATGTGGCCTTTTAGCCCACCAACTGACCCAAAGTGGTTTGAAGGAGGCAGATTAATAAAAATTAAAAATCTTAAATTCAAATTAAATCCCACAATCTCTGTTTTAACATAGTCAATGTATATATGCTGTCCAGGAATGCATTGTCCATCTATGCAGAGTTAAGCAGGAAAATCTGTTAAATGTTATGTTGCAATAATATTTGTGTCCAATGCAATTTCATTATGTAGGTAAAATTGATTTCAATAATTGCTCATATAACACTTAGCAAGACTTTTTAGCCACTAAAGTTTGATTTTTGCTTCTGACAGC